GGTGGGAGCCCCAGGAGGAGGGCAGCCATGGTGGGCGCTGTGTGGGGAGCTGCCAGGGGTTAGGGGAGCATTGGTGGGCAAAAGGAGTGGGTGTGCAAGGCAAAGGGGGGCCAGAGGGGGGCAGGCCTGTCCCACGTCAAGACCCTGCTGCCCACAGGTCTTGAAGGGCTTGTGCCACAAGCACCTTATCAGGCTGTACCAAGGCATGGACACCAGGACGGGCTTCCACCTCCTCATGGAGCTGGCCCCCTCGGGGAGCATCCTGGAGCAGGTGCAGGGCCAGGGGCCCTGCTCCCAGGGCCAGGCAGGGCTCTGGTTCTCCCAGCTGCTCTTCACTCTGGCCTACCTACACAGCAGGGCCATCGTCCACCGGTGGGCGAGCACGGGGGCACAGGGTCCCTGCTCTGGCAGCTGGGGGCAGAGCTCCCCGAGGCAGTGAGGGCTCTGCAGGGCCCTGGCCATGCTGCCTGGAGGATCATTCCCCCCAGCCCAGGCAACAGAGGGCCTCCTGGAAGATCCTCTTTGCCTCCACACCACAAAGGAGGCACCCTTACCTACCCTCCCTCTACACAGCCACCTGCCCCACAGCTCCCACTCCAAGCCCTCCTCCTCCCAGAGGAGCCCCCAGCCCCTCATCTACCCACAGCTCCCTCCTTGGCCCCTGACCTCCCCCTCCCCACAGCTGCCATCTGCCCCTGCCTGCCCCCAGCACATGCCGCCTCTCCCCCCGCAGGGACCTGAAGCTGGAAAACCTTCTCCTGGACAGCGAGGAAAACGTGAAGGTCTCTATCTCCAGCTTCTCCAGGACGGTGGCCCTGCAGGATGCCACATGCGGGCCTGCCCACCAAGGCAGTGCTGAGCCAAACCTTCTGCAGGTCCTGTGCTTACGCCTGTCCCGAGATCCTGCAGGCACAGCCCTACGACCACTGCCTGGCAGACACCTGGAGCGCCGGGGTCATCCTCTATGCCCTGCTCCGGGGCTGCATGCCCTTTGATGCCAGCCATCTGCGGCGCCTCCTGCACCAGACCCAGCAGCCCCCTGTCTTTCCCCGACGGCAGCCCCTGCCCCCGGACTGCAAGGTGGGGGCTGGG